GCTGTCCGTCCGCCTGCTCCCCCTTGGCGGCTCAGTGGCCGCCATCCGCCAGAGGCTATTGGACAGTCAGGTTTGGGCCCGCAGTGACGAGACATGCAGGGCCTCACGAATGGGGGTGCAGCCGGCCCTTTCCTCCCCACCCCAATGAGACCCTGAGTCACCGCCCACGAACGGCCTTTCTGGCTCCTGATCAAGCTGCTCAATGGCCAAGATCCCAGAGACTCAGGAGCAAATCTCGAAACCCAGTGGCTTTTGGCAGGAATCCCTCCAGATTTAAGTGTTAAAATTTTGGATTTTCAAAATTGCGCAGCCACTACTGCAGCCATGCGACATCACGTTATTCATAACCAGCAATAGAAAACAAATTGTCTACTGTTGCCTTTTGAGCAGATCTGAGTGTTGGGGTAAAATCCCAAATAATAACGCTGGGTCTGGTGTCAAAATATTGAATGTGATCAAAGTAGAGAGAGAGTAATGTAGAAATCATCTGCCCCACAGGTAGGGGGAGGGTGTGGGATGGGGTATACTGGGGTTTTTGGTGGTGGAGAATGGGCACTGGTGAAGGTACGGGTGTTTCATTGTATGACCGAGACTTAAACCCGAAAGCTTTGTAACTGCTCTCACGGTGATTCAATAAATAAAATTATAAAAAATGAAAAAACAAAAAACAAAGCAAAAAAATAAACACGCTTTTTTAAATACGAAAAAAAGAGTAAAGCTTTAATAATAAACACATCTGGGAGAATTAAGCAATACTGAATGGGTAACGAAACTCTAAGTAAAATGAATCAGACAGATGCATGCTGCTGAATTATGTAATGGCACTGTTCTTGGTGCAAAGTTTCGAGATCTGATGTGTTCCTTATTCTTGTGGGATACTTTGGGCAGTCACATGCAGGTCCCAACAAGACAAGTACCTGCACTCTCTCTCTCTGGCTCCTAAAATTCTTTTTATCTCTGTGACAATATTAAGGGAAAAGTGTTGGTTTGAAATTGCAGTACTTTGTTTTTGGTACTTTTTTTTTTTTTGTTACTTCTCGCTCTTTTCTCAAAGATCATTCCTGGCAGTGCTCAGGGGACCACATGGGGTGCCAGGGATTGAACCCAGGTCGGCTGCATGCAAGGCAAACACCCTATCTTCAGTACTATTCCCAGTACCATTCCCCCTTCCATTTTAACCTTTTTGGGGTCACACTCAACTCTGCTAGGGCTTATGCCTGGCGTGGCTCAAGGGTTTGTATGTGGTGCCAAGAACTGAACATAGGTCAGCTGTGTACACAGCAGGTGCACTTCCTGATGTACTATCGCTATGGCCTCAGTACTTTTGTTTCTTTTAATTAAGTATACTGCAATATTATTCATAGACAACAAGATACAATAATTTGGGGGGGTATCTTTTGATGATTGTGACAAATACACAGTTGCGGAATCATTTCTTCCAGTCAACACAAAGAACATTTCCATCACTTGAGGAAAATCAACTCCATGACTTTAAACATATGACGTCTAACTGTTTTGAGAAGATACAACAATTTACCAACATGGGTTGAGAGTACCTCACTGCACTGTTTAGTTTTGTTTTGGGGTCACACAAGGCTTTACTCCTGTTTCTGTCCTCAGAGGTCACTTTTGAAGGGTTTGGGGGGACCATACCATATGGGGTGTCAGGCATCAAACCCAAGGTGGCCACAACCCCCACCCAGCTCTGCTCTCAATGCATAGTCAAGTGTTGATGTTGCTACATGTTGCATTTAATGTGTCTGTCAACTTAAACAATGGTCCATGTGTCTGTAGCCAGAGCCAGGGCAGGGGAGACAGAACAGTGGTCAGGGCGCTGGCCTTGCCTGTGGCCCACCTGGGTTCGATCCCTGGCACTCCACAGAGTCTCTTGAGCACAGCAGGAGTGATTCCTACGCAGAGATTCAGGAGTAAGCCCTGAGCTCTGCTGGGAATGGCCCCCAGACAAAAACAAGCAAGGAAACAAAAAGGCCGCGTTGCCAATGGCAGCCTGGACGCACCACAGTGGCCATCAGCCTGATTCTTTGCTACTGACCCTGACTGGTGGAAATCAAAGTGCCAGTCTGACGGGTTGTGCTGAGAATCCCTGCAGTCCACAGTACAAAGCCAGGGAAGGAATGAGGAGTTGCTACAAGCTACAGAATGGTGGAGTGTTGGGGCTGGAGCCATGTCACAGCGGGAGGGTACTCGCCTTGCACACGACACACCTGGTTCCATCCCTGACACCCCAGATGGTCCACCTAGCCCTCCAGGAGTGATCCCTGAGCACAGAGCCAGGAGCACTGCCGGGCGTGGCCCAAAAACAAAAACAAAAACACAAACAAAGGAAAAAAAGAGGCAGACCGCTGAAAACGTCAGAGCAAGACAAAGAGCCACTGGGCCGAGACTGGCCTCTGTGAACCCGCTTGAATGAACTGTCTGGGCCGGGAGGATCCTTAGACAGAAAACAGATCCCTGCTGCTGAGGGGATGGGGGATTTGCTCAAGGTGATGAAAAAAACCTAAACTTAGCTGTTGTCATTACACTCATCCACGACAGTTCTAGAAGCCACAGAATTTTATTCTTTAAAAAGAGGTGGGCTCTTAGAGTCCTGGTAACAATACTGAATGCCCTGAAAAAACACCATGACCTCTTAGCACCTGTATTGCAAACCGTAATGCATAAAAGGAAACGGAGAAAGAGAGAGAGAAAGGAAAGCGTCTCCCATAGAGGGAGGCTGGAGTTAGGCGCTAGGGGTTGAGGGATGGTGGTGGGGAACGAGAGAACATTGGAGGTGGGAAATGTACACTGGTGGAGCGGCAGATGCTGAGTTATTGTATGACTGAAACCCAATTATGAACTACTTTGTCTATCTCACAGATATCCAATTAAAAATTTTTTTAAAAAGTAATCACAATCACAAATCACAAATCATCCTGTTATTCGTCGATTGCCTCGAGCAGGCCCCAGTAACGTCTCCTTCATCCTAGCCCTGAGATTATATTCAAGGCTCTTTAGGAGAACGAGACCCATCATTGTTACTGGTATTTGGCATATTGGGCGCGCCACGGGGAGTTTGCCAGACTCTGCCCTGTGGGCAGGCTACATTCCATAGCCTGCCAGTTTGTCCAAAGTAGGAATGAGATAAAAAGTAAAAAAAAAATAAATAAAAAAATAAAAAGAGGTGGGCTGCCCAAGCATGGCCAGGAGTAATTCCTGAGTGCATGAACCAGGAGTAACCCCTGTGCATCGCTGGGTGTGACCCAAAAACAAGCAAAAAAAAAAAAAAAACGGGGTGGGCTGAAAGGTACCTGAGTCTCATCTTGGCGGCGCTGAGCCTGTACCCCTACAGTGCTCTCCCACCCCCATTGCAAACAGTGTCACTGCCGCCCACACGCCCCTCTGCCTCTCTGGAACTCGACTCACTCCCGTTCCAACTGTCCAGGGAACTTGGACACAGGGAACGAGCATGCCTTTGGCCCCACTTGGGTTGTGCTGGACAACTCACCCCACCAAGCCTGCACCCCCACGCCCCGTCCCCAGCTATCCTGCCCCACCTTGTGGATCCCTTGTTCACCTCCTTTTTCTCTTTTTAATTTAGTTATTTCTTTTTTGCTTTTTGGGTCACATCTGGCGATGTACAGGGGTTACTCCTGGCTCATGCACTCAGGAATCACTCCTGGCGGTACTCGGCGGACCATATGGGATGCCGGGAATTGAACCCGGATCGGCCGCATGCAAGGCAAACGCCCTCCCCGCTGTGCTATCACTCCAGCCCCCTTTTTTTCTTTTTTAAATTAAAAATCTCTCTCAGTGGCTTGTTTCTGTGTTTTCCCACCCTTTGTTCTTTCCACGTCACCCGCAGTCTTTCAGAACTTGTGCCTCTGGTTGGATCTCTTTCCTGTGCCCTGCCAGCGAGGCCATCTTCTAGCCCATATACCATAAAGGTAAAAAGGCCCTCCCGTTGATCGTCGATTTGCTCGAGCGGGCCCAGTAACGTCTCCATTGGAGACTTTGTTGTTACTGTGTTTGGCATATCGAATACTCTCGGTAGCTTGCCGGGCTCTCCGAGAGGGGCGGAGGAATCGAACTCGGGTCGGCCGTGTTGGCCGCTTGTAAGGCGAACGCCCTACCGCTGTGCTATCGCTCCAGTCCATATACCATCTTTCCACAAAACATCTATAAACTTCTCTTTGTCAACCCCAAAATCACTGACTTCTTGATTTGTCTCTGCAAGCATTCATTTTTTTTTTATGTTCTATTTTTCCTAATAATGAATTACTTGAGATAGGATTTCTATCCCCTTCAACTATGTACTCTTTTGTGGGGAGAGGTTTGGGCCTAACCAAATGATGCTTGCTTGGGGTTTCCCCCCGGCCTGCACACAGGTATCGCTCCTGGTACTGGGGGACCAGATGCAGCGGTGAGAATCGAACTGGGGTTGGCCACATTCAAGGCAAATGCCTAAATCCTTATACTATCTCCACTGGCCTCTTACGTATGACATTTTTTTTTTTGTTTTGGGGCCACACCCAGTGGTGGGCAGGGTTGCGCCTGGTTCTGTGCTTAGCAATCACTCCTGGCAGGGCTTCAGAGATTGAATCTAAATAGGACACGGGCAAAGCAAATAAACGCTTCAGCTTCTGTGCCGTCTCTCTGATCCCATTTATAACACTGGCCGAATAAATGCAGTTAATTAAAAAAAAAAAAAAAAAGACTCGCAGGCTCCAAGACCATTCTGTTTAGGTATTTCCAATGTCCTGGTGTGTGGCTATCAGGTTTCTCTTTGAACACAGGAAATATCCATTATTAACGGTCAGGCCGGTCTGACTTGCCAGGTCTCTGTGCTAAACTCAAAGTGATTTATGAACCTAGTGGTAGGAATTCTTTTCTTACATGCGGATGCTTTATCTATGCAGTCGTGGTCTGAGCTTAGTTACCTTGGACCGCGTTTACCTCGTGACAGGACTTCGCTGTCCTGTGGCGAGGGCTGCTCTCCTTACCTTCTTGTGTTGTGCACCGTGGTTCCTCCCAGGACCACCCTCACGCCTGGGGATGTGCGGTTCAGGTTGTAGACTGTGAGAGCCTCTTCATATGTGGCGCCACCAATCATAAACACAAGGATATCTTGGGGTCTGCAAAAATGAAGAAAGTTCATGTCAAAGAAGAGGGAAAACAGTCAAAGATTTGTGGTTTCTGGGTCGGGAGCCATAGGACAGCTGAAGGGCATCATCTGCTTTGCACATGACCCGGTTCAACCTCTGGACCCCCCTATGATCTCTCAAGCCCGGCCAAGAGGGATTCCTGAGTACAGAGTCAGGAGTAAGCCCTGAGAATCACTGGGTGTGGCCCATAAACACACACACACACACACACACACACACACACACACACACACACACAGTCAGGAGTAAGCCCTGAGAATCACTGGGTGTGGCCCATAAACACACACACACACACACACACACACACACACACAGAGATTTGTTGTACAATTTAAATTCTCTGTACAATTTAAATTTCTAGATCTTGGAGCTAGAGAAACAGCACAGAGGGTCGGGTGCATGCCTTGCACAGAGCTGACTTGGGTTTGATTCCTGGTACTCCGCAGGGTCTTCTGAGCCTGCCAGGAGTTATTCGAGTCCAGAGCCAGGGATACTCCCTGAGCACCGTCTGCTATAGCCCCGAAGCAAACATCACCACCTCCTCCCCATTTTATCTCCCTAAATCTTCCTTTTTTGATGGAGGAAGCAGAAGCAAAGCAGAACAGAATAAAAGGCTTTAAAAAGTTCTAATGATTTGAAATTGGCAGGAAACAGCACAGGAAATGCTGAATAGCGGTTTGTTCTGGTTCTGAGTGGCTGTCTTCTCATTTCTGCACTGTGAGTTTGAGAATAGCACAATGATGTTTGCCGGAGCCAAATGCAGAAATATGCTTCTTCATCCAAGAGGCTGCTCTGTAACATGTCAATGCAGCGATGATTTATGCTGGTCCCACCGGCTCCTCTCACAGACCAGCTTTGTCAAGGGCTCGGCACAGCTGCTCCTATACGAGGATGTCAAATATTTTCAAAAGCACTAGCACATTTGGGTGCCCTGAGATATGAGAACGAGAAGCATTTGATGCTTTGAGACTGAGAATAAAATGGGGGCAGGGGTGAGAGGTCCAAGGGCTGAGGTGCATGCTGGCCCCGGGTTCGATGCCTGACACTAGGCGGGCCCTGGAGCACAGCTGGGCATCGCCCCACGACAGGAAACAGAGTTGAGGGCCGCCACCGGAACAACGCAGAGAGCTCCCGGGCTCTCGCTCTTCTTCAGAACTTAGTTTCTGAATTCTTCGGTAAACCATGAGTAAGAAGCCATGTGAGAAGTTTAGATACTGGGCGGCGGGACACGGCCCAGCCACTGGCTTCACTTGAGGGGCACTGTGCATTTTACTGGGCTGCATTTTTGTTTTGTTTTGGGGTCACAACGAGTGATGCTCAGGTGTTATTCCTGAAGTCACTCCCGGTGGTGCTTGGGGGACCCTATGGGATGCTGGGGATCGAACCTGGGTTGACTATGTGGAGGCAGGTGCCCACCCCACTATGCCATCACTCCAGCCCTGGGCTTCAAGCTTATGTCTACCAGGGTCCACTTCGGAACCGACACTCCTGTGAGGTTGCTTTGTGGAGAGTAATAAAAACTGAGATACTGTACTTCAAAACTGTTCGAGTTTGCTTTGGTTTTCTTTTCGCTTGCCTCCAGTGGAAGACAAAATTACCTCGTAGGCAAGTCCTTCTGTGAAATTATTTACTAGACATCACTAAAAGCTCCGGAGCAGAGGATTCACTTTGAGGGGTGCAGCACAGAACTAAAGAGAAACATCTGGAATCAAGAGACACACAAGCCACTCTCTTTCTGTGTCCGTCTCTTTCCTAGCGCCTCTCCCAGGGTCTCTGCACTCCTGGGAACCCGGCACTGTGCCCCCTGCCAGCTGCCAGGGCTGCCTGGTGCAGGCGCTACTCAACAGTGGGCCAGACAACCTCTGGACGCTCCCTGCGAACATGGGCTCAAACACTGAGCCTTGGGGCCCCACATTTACTTGGTTCTTCCCTCCTTGGGGGCCAGGGAGGGAAACTCAGGGCCTCGTAGGTCAAGCACACACTCTACCATGGAGCTACGCTCCTGGCACAATTTACTTTTTTTTTCTCTTTGGGTCACACCCGGCGATGCACAGGGGTTACTCCTGGCTCTGCACTCAGGAATCACTCCTGGCAGTGCTCAGGGGACCATATGGTATGCTGGGACTTGAACCCGGGTCGGCCGCGTGCAAGGCACACCCTTCTCGCTGTGCTATCACTCCAGCCCCACAACTTACTTTTTAAGAGAAAGCAAATTTCGGGCTGGAGTGACAGCACAGTGGAGAGGATGCTTGTCTCCCGCACGGCTGACCTCGATGAACAACAGGATGACAGTGATAGAGTGATACTGCTGACCTCAGTTTGATTCCTGCATCCCGAACGGTCCCCCAAGCACCATCAGGAGTCAGCCCTGAGCACTGCTGGGTGTGGCCCCCAAACAAAACCAAAATGCCTTGGGTCTTTCCTAAGTCTTCCTTAGGGACGGCGGAGCCCGTAATGGGGCAGTGAGAGGAGCCGGCAGGACTCAGGAGCCCAGAGCCTCAGCAGCACGGGAGTCAAGCAGGGCTTCAAGATGATCAAACTAGAATTTTGGAAGGGTGGTTCTGGCAGCCATCTAAGAATGAAGGAGGCACTGCTCTTCAGGAAGGCGGGGGTGGGGGGGAAACGGGTGTCATAAGGCTTTTAGAAGATACGGAAGATGAGACTAAAGAAGAACTGGCTGGTGGGGGTGGGGTCGAGTGTCAAACAACAGAACAGGGTGCTCACCTTGCACAGACAACCTGGGTTCAATCCCAGCAACCCATGTGGTCCTTTAAGCCCAGCCAGGAGTGACCCCCGAGCAAGGCCAGGAGTAAGCCCCAAGTACCACTGGGTATACCCCCCCAAAAAAAAAACAGGAAGGAAATATATTCGTCGACTGCCTCGAGCAGGCCCCAGTAACGTTTCTTTCATCCTAACCCTGAGATCATATTCAAGGCTCTTTAGGAGAATGAGACCCATCATTGTTACTGGTATTTGGCATATTGGGTACGCCATGGGGAGTTTGCCAGACTCTGCCGTGTGGGCAGGCTACATTCGATAGCCTGCAAGTTTATCCAAAGTAGGAATGAGATAATAAGATGTGGGATTGGAGAAGTGGGATGGAGAAAGAATTCACACAAATTTAAAACGATGAATATTTGGTCACTGATTTTAAATACAGTGATGTGGATCACTGAAGAACCCAGGATATCTTCGTTTTGGAGACCACACCTGGCAGTGCTCAGAACTTACTCCTGGCTCTGTGCTCAGAGATCACTCTTGGTGGACTCAGGGGACTATACTGGGTTCCGGGGATCGAACCCAGGTCGGCTGTGTGCCAGGTCAGCGCCCTCCCCGCTGTCCTACTGCTCCAGCTCCACGAGGAGTTTGGGTGACAAGGCACAGCTATTGAAAAGCAGGCTGGACTGCTGGACTGAAGTCCGACAAACACACGTCATGCCTGAGACCCCCGGGATTGGGGAAGAGGCTCTGAACGGGGGCAGTGCCTGAAGCCATGGGGATAAACTGATTTCCCTGGGGGCTCACGCAGGAGAGGAGAGCCACAACCAGATGCTGGGGCTCCCTGACACCCACCCAGGAGACGAGCAAGGCACCAAGTCAGCAAGAGCAGCAGAGAAGGAGAATGACAGCAAAGTGGACAGAAGAAGGTGACAGAGACACAGGATTTCAGGGACTCCAGGGACACAGTGTTCTGGGACTCGGAGGTGGGAAATGCCACCGCCATGCAGACTGCAGAAGCCGCTGCGATATTCTTGCAAGACTGTGTGGAAGGAGTCAGGGCATGTGAAAGGAGACGTGGAGCTGGCAGGAGGCTTCTGGGAAAGGCGGGCGTGAGGGAGAAAGGGAGCCAGAGCCGCGTTCGACCCTGGAGAGTCTATGGGGCCAGAGTGAAAATTCTGGAAATGGGGTGGGGGCATGGCACAAGCCTGGGGCGGGGCGGGGAGAGAGCATCTGTTAGGGCAGGGCGTGGAGGAGGGAAACAAAGGCATAGGAAGGAAACAAGTTCAGAATCAGAAAAGGCTGGGAAACACTGGATCGGCCCCCCAGGCTTCAAACTCACTGAACAGGAGGAATTTCAGTATTTTATTCATTTAATACTGAATTTCAGCAATTCCTACCAAAAAAAAAGCAGTCAATGGGGGCTGGAGCGATAGCACAGCAGGTAGGGCGTTTGCCTTGCATGCAGTCAACATGGTAGACACAGGTTCGATTCCCAGCACCCCATATGGTCCCCTGAGCACCGCCAGGAGCGATTCCTGAGTACATGAGCCAGGAGTAACCCCTGAGCATCGCCGGGTGTGACCCAAAAAGCAAAAAAAAAAAAAAAGGCAGTCAAAGGAAAAGCTGAAAATAAAGGAAATATGAAAATTATGAACAGAGAAAGGCTTCAGAAGAAATGGCAGGAGTCTGAAGTGCGAGGGCTGGCAGTCTCGTTCCAAACAGAAATAAGCACGCATTTTCCTTATGGCCGAGCTCTATCCCGCTGTGCAGACAGGACGTTTCTTCAGGCTGGGATCTACAATTGGACACTCGGGTGGTTTCCAGATGCTGGCCACTGCGGACAGTGCCGCAAGGAACATGGAGCTGAAAATGTCTTCTGTCCATTTTGCTTTTGGGCCCGTGGGGTGTATTCTGAGAAGGGGGGTGGCTGGGCCAAATGGAAGCTCCATTCTGAGATTTTTTTAAAGTCCGTATTGTTTTCCAGCATCAGTACTACAAACCACATGGCAAAAGTTTCAACAACAAAAAGGGCACCTCGTAGAAGTGGATTGGTGGAGGTCAGAGGTGCCGCCAGGCCCCACTCCAGGCTGGCTCTCCTGTCCAGGAACCCTGGAAGGGGGTGGGTGGAGCTCTAGCAGCTGAAAACTCCAGTGCCCAATCTCTGCCCTGCACACGGCCTCCACAGGCTTGGACGAGACTCATCCATGAGTGAGTCTGTTGAAAAACTCAGGTACGCAGGTTTTGTGACT